TGGTAAGTAATTGTATGTTTTGTTTTTATAGGTAACAATATTAACGTTTAATATATTTGATTAGAGTGATTTTGAAAATAGCGGTGGTCCCTCCCATAAATCAGCCGATAACATATTAAATGACGAAAATAGGCGTAATAAACCATCAAGAGAGGCCTCGCCTCAATATACTGAAGCTGAAAGCGAATCTCCTGCCTCAAGAAGCCCATTTATGTCTCAAGAAGAGATGGATGAATTGTTTGGACTCGATCAATAGTGTTATTTTCACATAATGTATATTTTTCGTGTATTGTTTTTTTTTTCTTTTTTTATTGTTTTTTTTTCTTTGTATTTTATTTCTTGTATAATATATTTTTTCTTGTGTTGTATTTTTTTTTCTTTCATTGTTTAATATATTTGCATTATATATCAATAAAATGTATTTTTTTTAATAAATTCAGTTATTGCTTTAAACATTTTTAAAAGCTAGTATTAGTATAGCTTTTTGCTATAAATGAGTAGTATAACAATTATTGGATATATATCGATATAAATCGGGTTTTTATATAATCGATTGATATCAATTTTCTGTTATAATAGCTATATATCAATAGATATCACAATCGATAGAACCCAACAGAAGGGATTACTATTGATATATATCTGCATAAATAATGATCGATATATATTGGCCTATATTTTTTGCTGATATATACTTCTACCTCAAAAAACTAGGAAACATTATTCAACAAATTAAAGCTACAATCAAAAACAATACTCCAATACCACAACAACATAACCCTACTATTAACCACATTAATGTTACTTTTAACCTTAATATATTACAAATTCCACCTAATCACAATGCACTACCAGATTGGATAAATACTAGCAACAATGAATGGAAAGCCCTTTACCATGCACGTAATATTGAAAATATTAAGGAAATTAGACAACAAATTAATAATAACATTTCTAAAAGATGTGACAAACTTCAAACCCACCCCAAATCTATAATCAACAGTATACTTAACCAATACAAAGACCCTATTAAATTTAACAATATTAAAACAGACAATGATATTATCACAGATATACAAAACATTAAAGTATACATACAACAACACTTTGATCAATAGACAGACCTTAGAATTATTGATGAAAATATTTATAATTCTTTTTGAAAAACAGACTATGAACCTCTTAGCCACATCGATCCAGAATGGTACCAACATGCACTCAAAGAATTCTCTATTGAGGAAGTATCGACCACTTTTTCTTAATTATCTAATAATAAAGCATGTAGCCTTTCTGGCATAAGCTATGAAATGTTAAAACATACAGGTCTACCTTTCCTTCAAGCTATTACAGCATTATTTAATAGAT